GTTGCAACTCGGACTGTAATGGGGGTCAATTCCTTAGCCCCAATGCCCCACAACTAGCCCTTACTCAAAAGAAAAAGAAACAGCCAAATCCCAAGCGCATCCGGCCTTGATTTTGACTCCAGATGCACCTAAAACATGTGTTTTTCCTCATGCAGGTACTCCGTTTGATTCCGGTTGCAAGAGGCCTTGATTTCCTTTCATTTTCTCTGCAAAAATCAAAGAAAATCCAAGTCCTTTATAACCGCCACATTCCGGAATGAATCTGGTCACGGATGAATCTCCCCAAGTGACCGTTTTTTACCATTAAGGCATTTTTCTCTTTTCTTTTCTTTTCTTTTCTTTTCCTCCTCCTTTCTTGGATAGTAGGGACCTGCTAGTCCCTACCCATGGCAGTCCCTACTGACGGCCAACTCACTCACTCCCTCTCACTCTTTTTGTCTTATTCTGCCACATTTTCTTTTCTTTTCTCTCTTTTTTCTAGCATGTCAGGTATCAAGTGGCCGTTAAGACCTTTTTCTAGCCTCTTTCTCTTAGTTTTGGCCCTCCCTATGCCCAAGGTGCAGTCCGTAATTTCTCAAACTGCAATAATGACCTTCCCATGCCCATGGGAACCTCCTTTTACTTCTACATTTCTCCCACAATGGTCCCTCCTACTCCGATTTTCTCCCGGTGGGCTATTTTTGACGTGGGGTCTCATTTGACTCTATTTTTTTTAGGGAGGTTGATCAGAGATTTTTCGGATTGCTTCCATGCCTCCCACTTCAGTTTTCTTTACTTTTCCTTTTCCTTTTGGCCTTCCCGTTTGTTACCACTAGTACTTGCACTAGTGGTGCTAATATTCTTGGCCGTCAAGATGTCGATCTTGACGGTGCACCTTGCATTTGTTATTTTCCCTTCATGAGGTACCGCCGTTTCTTCTTGGGATGTTCACATGTCCCCGCTACTTGTCCCGTTGGGGGTCCCCGACACTTTAGTCCCGTCGGTGGTCCCCGACACTTAGTCCTGTCGACGGTCCCCGACACTTAGTCCCATCGGCGGTCCCCGACACTTAGTCCCGTTGGCGGTCYCCGACACATTTCGCCCTGGACGCCATTATTTTTACTTAGTCCCACGTGGCCCCGGGTGCCTTTCCCCGAGGTGTCCCATGCCTCTTGGGCGTCTTGTCGCCCCATAGCGACCCCTCTCCTTAGTCTGTCCTCGCGCCTTGTGCGTGCCGATCTCTTCAGTCGCGGGCCTCCACTTCGAGGCTCCCATAGGTGGCCCCCACGGTAGACCCTCATTTTGTGGCTTCCCGCGGCTTCTGGCCGTCCATTCCTCGACTTCCTCATTCCCTTATTGGTGTCGCGCTGCAATTGCTCGTTCAAAGGGACCTTTGGCCTTAGTCTTATTGCATTCCGATGGCCCTCCCGACCTCCTGCTATGTTCTATGTGCCCCTGTTCTTGCGCTCGCTTGCTTGCCGCCGCTAGTTCTTTCCTCCTGTGGTTCTCTCCTCAGGGCATCACTCCCTTTTGTGGCCTAATCCTTTGTCTTTTCTCTCTCCTGCTTCCTCACTCCAGATTTCTCTATTGTGCACAAATTGTCCGTATTCAATCTCTCGAGTGATGGGAAGTTATTCGGGACCCACCAGTCCCGACACCGTCAAAACCTGCGGTCAGCTGTGAGACCCCGGGTTTTTTCCTCGTGCGCCTTGGTCAGACCCCTTCTTGCGTCTAGACTCACAGTTGCTCCAGTATTTTTCTCTGTCTCTCTTTCTCGCAGCCTCCTGAAGTTCGGATCCCGTTGAACTTCCATTGTCGCCTGTCTAATGGAACAGACGGTGGTCTTCCGGATCCCCCGTGGATTGCGACAACAGCCCAAGTCCATGGACCCCTAAAATATTGTCACGGCTGCCGCTTTCGAACTTGGGTTCATCCAGTGCCAAGCTGTGCATATCGCAAAATCGGACATCAGAAGAAGTTCGGATTAAGGCGGACTTCTCCATTTCAACCAGCCTTTCATTTCAGTGTGGCCTTCCTGGGTCGTGGTTGAGTTTAACAACCATAGACTTGCGGATCGTGTGTCTCTGACGTCGTCTCCGCCTGTCGCATCGTCCTGAAGTTCGGATCTCGACGAACTTCACGTTTCGAGAGGTGCGTTGGTTTGTCTTYGGTCTTCGTGGTTCCGGGTGGATCGCACAACCCGCCCGACAACAGTTCCGGAGTGTGTTTGCTCGAACACGGTTCTGGGAAGCTGGCTTCATGACTGACTCTCTCTCTGTCTCTCGCACCCTCTTCTAGTTCGGATCCCGGCGGACTTCGAGTGCTGGACTGTCCAGGTTTTGAGTGCTACGAGGGGGACACTACCCCGTCGAGCGCGAGCTTCGAACATGACCGCCCGTTGATTCTTGAGAAGAATTCCCGAATTCTGATTCCGCCATCTCTATCTCACGCACCGTCCTTTAGTTCGGATCCCGGCGGACTTCTCGATTTTCATTGTGCGTTGGTCTGTCTTTGTTCTTCCGGGTCCCCCGTCTGCCGCATAAATAGCGCTTGATCCCATGCACACTGCGAGTTTTCACTTGCTTCTCTCTCTCTCTGTCTACCTCTCGGTCTCATACCCTCTTGAAGTTCGGATCCCGGCGGACTACCCGTTCTCACCATTCCGGATTTGGGTGTCGGGGTGTCTTTGTGTGCGGATTTCGCTACGCTACAGCCTGCGTTGACGTGCGGCAGCGACTGTTCTGTTTCTCCAATGTTTTGCCAGACGTTGACTTCATGGTGTGCTGTTTGATTTGCGTTGTCGTTCGCAGACAGTATGTCTTCTTCGAAGGGCGAGGTGGAGCCATCAGGGACCTCCGGGAAGGAATCAGGAAACGATTCTACGAGGCGGTCGTCTACTGCCACGAAGGGGTGGTCGAACCATTCGAGGTCGAAATGGTTTATTGACTAGTGCTGTGGAGACGCTTCCAACCCCATTGCGTAGCCATGTGGTCCTGTCATCTTCATCGATGACAGCAGAAGACGTAGATTGCTTGGGGTCGTCTTGCAGTGAGAGGACGCGAAGGGGGGTTGGCGACATTTCTATATGCAAAAGGTTTATGGCGCCAAGGGCAACATCGTTGCCAATTCGAAAGGGACGTTGTTGGACCTCGAATTGTGTGAGGGGTTCGGAGCGTGTGTTGTGGACACCCCGTTCTACAGAGAACTCGTTCTCGGGGGCGGTTTTTTTTTGGAGCGTGAATTTTTCGACATGTTGGAGGACAGGAACATCGCTCTCGACGTCCCCTGCGACATCGGCCCCTCCCTGGAGCTCTCGTTGCCGTTGAGGCTGTGTGGCGGTTGCGAGTCAAGTGGGGCAGCGGCGGAGGGCGGTGATCTGGGTTCTGGTCCCGCTACTCAGCTGCACTGTGGCGAGAGCCGTGGTCAGTTCGACGACAGCGAGGATGAGGGGCCTGCTCCGCCATTGAGGGACACGCGGCGGTCAATGTTGTCTATTCCTGGGGTTCAGACTGACGCTCCGGTTCAACGGGAGAGTACGGAACGTGCATGAGAGATGGCGGCCTCTTCAGAGGTCGACTTGGAGGCGAGCGAGGGCCAGAGTGTAGAGGAGGTTACCGCGGGCGGCCTGGGCTCGCAAGGGGCTCACAAGAAAGGAGGGGGGATCATCCAGACGAGTTCGCCGGTTTTGCGAAGAAGTTAAAGTGCAAGGCCCCCAGGACTGCGGGGGAGAAACGCAAGGAGACCGAGGGGGAGCAGGGCCGGCAGGTTGCCAAACGACCGTCTTCGAGACAAAAGCAGCCTGCGTCTTGACCGTCTTCTCCACCGACAACAGGGACTCCCATCGACGTCGACCCCAGGTACTTCCTCGAGTACAAAGACGACGTTCGGACAAAGCGGGAGTTCGAGATTAGCCCTGCGCAGGTCGTCGACCTCGGGGATTGGGAGGACCTGTACAACCAGCACTCCCTGGATTCCGTGCTCGTGGAAGGGATCAAAGAAGCGATGCGGTTGGCGTTCGAAAACAAAGCGCGGTCTTACGATTTACCTACCTTGAAGCTGGCACTGTTGGGGCTTGATAAACCGACTCCGGGGACCAAGGCAGAACGTATGAGGCCGGAGGATTGGAGGGATGAGCTGGCGGGACAATACTACTACTACGCGGTGTGTGGCCAGCACAACGCGGATGCAGCGAAATCGCTGCTCGGCAGCGAGGTGGCCACGAAATACAATTTCGAGCGGTGGCCTGCACGAATGGTCTACTTTTCGGACGACGACTTCGAAGGGTACTTCCTTGTCAGTTTCCAAGACAACAAGAAGGACCTGAAGGCGCCCCCACAATAGCTGAAGCTGTCAATGAGAGACATTAGGTGGCAGTGGAAGCGCGCCGGTTGCCCGCGTGCTGTTACGGGGAACCCCAGCGGAAAACAGGATCAGGTCCGGAAGTGGCGTGAATTCTGTAATGTCGCGCTCAATATGACACCGCACAACAACTTGTGGATTCTCGCAGATCAGAGGGCGACGAGGCCATCAGGAAACAAGGCGCTGCACTGCGTTCCTATTTCCCACTGGCGATGGCAGGGGACAACGTATGGAAACTGGCCGTCGAGTTTTTCGAGAAATGGGAGACAGGCAGATTGCTCGGACACGACGACACAAAGTGGATCATGCGGAAGAAGAAAGTCAAAAACGTGAAGCCTGGGGTTGCCTACATCGACAACGACAAGCTGGGCAGGAAGGAGGTCGTGTACAATGTCCCTGTGGGCCCGCCGACAAAGAAAGGCAAAAAGGAGAAAGAGGAGGGCGAGTGGTTCGTGCAAGTGTCTGAGCCGGACGCGCATTGTTGGAAAACGATGAAGTCCCTGACCGACAACGACAAGTGCCGCGTCCTGAAGAAGGTGTTCCCTTGCGAGGTGGTTTGGGTCCAGGCCGGCTCCCCGGCGTTGGCGAAGCTCAGAAAGCTGAGCGTCCAGGAGATGGTGCAGTTGGTGAACTGCGACCGGGTGCTAGTGCGTCTGTGGAACTACTACCAGTTCAAACACGACAAAAGGCCGGGCGCGGATTGGAGCCAGAGGTGCCCGTTCCGAAACTCAAGGTCCGCAATTTTCAGACAGTTTGAGAGTCGTGGTTTGGATGCTGAGTTGTGGGACGGGAGCAGGAAATACGTCACTGACTCCTCGCTGTTCAAGAACTGCCCGCCCTACATGGGCTGCGACGACGACAAATCGATCGGGGCGACGGAGAAGTTGGTCGGTCACAAGAAATTGTTCGTCGACTGGAGGAATAAAGTCCTGTCCGTGTTGACTGGCAGTAGAATGAAGAGTCACGAGATCGCGCTCGCCGAAGGTATTGTGCACATAAAATGGAAAGACACAGGCGACGTGACATCCATTGCGCCATTCGGCAACGACCCCTTGGAGGCAGACATAAGGAGTGCGGAGGTGAAGGAGGCAGTGGTTGCCACAAAGAGTCACATGTTCGTCCTCGATCTGTGCGAACCAGTGGACCTGAAGCTTTGGAAACCGCAAGCGTTCGACACTCTGGATTCCCAACTTCAGACGTGGTGTCCGTCGCATTGGACACTCGTCATTTTCGTCCCGCGGCAGCAGAACCTCTCCTTTCTGGCCAGCATGAACCATCTTTCTTTCGTCAAGCTGCTGGAAGGGTGAGGAGGAGTGAACAGAAGAAAAGCTTCCCCGTCGGGAACAATTTGTACACGGAAGACGACCGAATATACATACTCTTCAAAGGCGACGATTTGCTCGCTAACACGTCCGTCGTCTACGAGGGGAAGCTGCCGGCAGGCGCCACTGCTGCAGTGCGGCTGCCACAGAAGGTTACGCAAATGGATGTGTCCGACATCCCGTTACACCCTTGCGACTGGTCGCATACCTCGCCTGCACGTCGGGGCAATGTGTACGGGGACATGGAACGCAACCCCGTGCAATTCGTTAATCTTCTCGAATCGGTCACCAAGAAGGGGGAGGGTGTCGTCTTCCTCGGGAAGCCACACACGCGATCAGTGTGGGAAGTACTGAAGGCAGGACGACACGTCATCGCGATGGAAGGGAACTCCGAGCTCTTGCAATTTACAATTGATCTCGTCAAAAGCGAGGTCAATTCGGGTGCCGACAATTGCCAGTTCATGGTCGTCACCGAGACTCGGGCTCGCGCGTGGAACAACAAGAAGGACATGTGGTTCAAGTTGAGTGCGAGGAAGCGGAACAAGATATACGACTTCTTGTTCCTGCAAACGCGACCGAAGAAAGACACTGACGCCGAGTACGTGCGCCGCAAGGACCACATATTCACGTTGTTCGACAACTACCACGGCGCCTCCCGCATGAACGCGAAGACCTTCCTCGCGAGGTTGCAGTCCCTGTACTTCGTGGAGTCAGAGGAGGAGTTGACATTCAGCAGTTACTCCTCCTTGATCTCCATGGAAGACGAGGAGACCACCGACATCGAGTTCGACGCGACCGCGGATGAGGAGGGCAGCGACACCGAAAGCCTCGACCTGCAGTACGACCCACATCCCGCGCAGCACGCTACAGGGTCGTCTTTGGCAGGTCCGTCAACAAGCCCGACATCCCTCGTGTCACCGATGGCGAAACCGGCGCCTTACACTACCCCGATGAAGTTGCTGCAACGACTGCAGGCTCTGGCCTTCGACCATCGCTCACTGCGTCCCGGGTCTGACATCCCGCCCAATCATCTGTCTTGGAAGGATGCCAACATTCACTTCCTGCCTGAGCCTCAAAGTCGTTCCACGGAGGTGGACTGGGGTCATGACATGATTTGGCATCCAGGAGTCATCCAGCCGGCGATCCAAAAGGGTGAGTGGATCGTGGTCGTCGCTGTCCTGGACGGAGGATGGATGCCTCTCCCTCGCGGGTCAAAGTCTGACTTCCTCGACGTCGCTAGAATTGCGGTCCTCTAGAAAGTGAGGGCCGAGAATGACTATTTTGCACCCGAATACGTGTCCGTCATTTCCACAGTCGGGCGATTGTTTGCCGAACTTCAGGACAAGTGTTGGTTGGAGCTGACGGAGGACTACTACGACCTCAATACGAGCTCCTCGAAGGGAAGGGTGGACTGGAAAATCCCCCCTCCCAGTGGGACGCATGTAAGTACAGGGTCCCGGGGACCGGACGGTGGGGAGAACGAGGGCGACAAGGCTGGGGGTGGCAAAGGAGTCCCGCCTGGTTCGGAGGGCGGGTCTCACGGCGACACCACGACTGCGGAAGGCAGCGGCGGGGTGGCGGGGGAGGCCTTTGGGCGTCAACAGTCTACCAGTCCCGGTCCGAAAGGCTCGGCACAGTCAGCGGACGTGCCCACTTCATCCGCCGGCTCGGTGATGGCGGCCTTGGTTGCTCTCTGTGCCGGCTCGGTCGAAACGTTCACGTCCGCCGGGATCCGAACTTCAATGCTTGCAGAGCGGACAAAGAGGACTGACGCGCAGAGATGGTCAGGAGCGGGGGTGGCGAGTCGTGATCCCAAAATAGACCGCGGTGCGGTGAGGGACGGGAATGCGCCGCCTGCGGGGGATTGACAACCGCTTCGGTCGGAGCGAGAGGGTACGTGTGGAGGGCCCGGAGACAGGGAGACGGCGAAGTTCGTCAGGATCCGAACTTCCTCAGGCAAGGGGGGGCAACCAGGGATTGTGGTGTCGGCGGGAGGGGCTGCGTGCGGTGGGCGGGAAGGGCATTCGTCGGAATTCGACACAGGTTCGGGCGAAGTGGCTGGATTGCATGCAAGGGAAGAAGGCAGGGTGATGGACAAAGAGAAGGAAGGGGAGGAAGGAGACAAAGGGGAGAAATTGGAGGGGATGAAGGGGAGGAAGAAGAGGATGAAGGGGAGGAAGGAGAGGAAGGGGAAGAAACAGAGTTGGCTAGGTTGCGAGGAGGGAAGGAGGGGGGAAAAGGGGAACTCGATACTGGAGACGACGAACGGACGTTCGGCGACGACGATGACAGATCTGGGGAGCCGTCTGACGGATTCGGGCAGTTGTACGGAGAACATCACGAGGAAGATGACGACGACGATGACACGGCACTGGATATGGAGACACAGGTGGTCACAAGCCTTTTGGCAGAACGTGATGACTATGAGGTCCAAGCAATGACGTCTGCCGTCGATCTCCAACACCGGTTGAACGAAGCTCGTGTTGCAGTCAGCCTGACTAAACCGAGTGTACGCATTGACGTCGAAGAAGTTATCGACGGCATCCTGGGCGACCACCATATGTCCGCGCAGCCGTCCTCGACGCCCGGTGTCGACGACCCTCTCGACGTCAAACCTTCCGCGGGATCTGTCGTGGCTTTCTCGCCGACGAACTCTCCGATGCTGCCGCCGACCATCGCCAGCGGAGGAGAAGGCGAGATCGAGGGACGACAAGATGTCACGTCCCCGAAAAAAATTGCCGCCAACACTCGAGCTTTCGACGTGCTGGCCTTGCCTGCGCCAACTTCACCGATTAAGGAGCGGAGAGACAAACCAACTGGTAAGCAGTGACAAACGCCACTCTGTCTGCGCGCCAGTGACCGCAGTGTCTGTCGATGCGGGGAGTTCCTGATGCCGGCATGCTACAGCCACCACTCCTTCAAACTTCCAAGTACATGTGAACGACCATCCTGTGAGTCGGCCAGGTCACTGGTCGTGTGCAGGGCATACGAGACAAAAACATGTGTGTTTTTGTTGAAGCGTTCCCTCACATAATGGAAGGATGGTGTTTCTTTTTCGGAATGAGTGGTGGTTTTAGTCCGCCGGGATCCGCACTGACAAGGCCGCTGCGTAATGCGGTTACTCTTTTTGTGCCTCGATTGGGAAAAGTCCGCCGGGATCCTGACTTCGGAAATGTTTGGCCTCCGCGTTTGTGGCTTGTTGAGGTTTTTCCTTTTGAAAGGCGGGGGTGTCGAGGTCGAACGCACTGCTCCTTTTGTTTTCCGGTGGGGCTTGCGCGGGAGTATTCTCTATCTCTCTCATGGCTAAACGGGGTTCTGTAATTAGATAGGTCCTCCGTCTTCTACGTTTCGTGGTTCTTAAATTGTCGTTTTCGCCGGATTCCTCTTGGATTACGTATATTCATTTTCCGTTTTCTCTTCCTTCAGTTGTACAGGGGTTGGGTCATCTCCCTGGGTTGGAAAAGTCCGCCAGGATCCGGACTTCAGAGATGTTTGGCTTTCGCTTCTGTGACTTGTTGTGGTTTTCCCTTCTGAAGGGCGGGGGTGTTGAGCTCGAGTGCAGTGGTCGTTTTGTTTTGCAGCGTGGCTCATGCGGAAGTTTTCTCTCTCGCACTCCCATGGCATAACAGGGTTCTGTAATTGCATGGGTCCTGTGTCTTTTAGATTTCGTGGTTCTTTAATTGTCCTTTCGTTGGGTTCTTCTTCCGAAACGTGTATTCATTTTCCGTTTTGTCTTTCTTCTGTTGTACAGGGGTAGGGTCGTCTCGAACACGGAGGCCCTCTAAATATGTGGAACACATATTGCAGACAGTTCCGGGGTTGATGACAAAACACAAGGACATGTTAAAGGCGTCAGGGGTTGATGTCGAAATCGGGAAGAAGGAGCATGTCATTGCCATTGAGGAGTGTCTTTCCCTTCTGCCCCCAGAGATAGGAACATATCCACGATCTGTGACTAGGGGTCAGGCCATGTATGAAAAATACTTAGCTACTCGTCATGCGATGAAGGAGAATCCTTAGAGTTCCGTTTCTCACTTCACCCCCTGTCCTTTGCTCGATGTTGTGCAGTGCGGGTCACGGCACATGGAACAGCAGTGATCGAGATTGGAAGCTTGCGGGTTCTGGACGACATTGAACGAGGCTTGGTGCCACCTAACACTATACTCTCGACCCTCGGCGATGGTCAGTTGCGAATTGCAGCGAAGGATATTCTCACCCTCTCACTTACCGACGGCAGGGTGAATGATGAGGTGGTCAACTCTTACATGGCGCTATTAGGAACGACCGCATATGGGATACGTGACATCCCGTCAGGCCTTCGAGTCTTCAGCTTTAATTTTTTCTTCTTCAGTAAACTGCAACTTCAAGGACACGGCGGGGTGGAAAGATGGGCTAAAAACGTGGATCTGCTTCAATATGATATTATCTTTGTTCCAGTCCTCAAAGATAATGATCATTGGATCCTCCTTTCCGTGAACTTGAGAGATAATGTTCTTGAGATTTTCGATTCTTTTCCTTGCGTTGCAGCCGATTCTAGTTTTTACCTTAGTGTTTTCGAGTTCATCGTACACTATTTGGAATGACAAACATCACATAGGCGGTCGTGCAGGAGTTGGAAGTCGGTAGCAATAAATGTTGTTATAGAGGGAGTTCCAAGACAAGTGGATGGAGTTAGTTGCGGGGTGTTTATGTTGATGTTTGCGACACTGTTGCAACGTGGCGATCGACCACCTTTCAGGTTCTCTTGTAAAAATATTCCGCATATTAGACGACAATTGACATCATGTATCTTGGAATGCCGTTGTCTTTGATGAATTCGATTGATTTGCAAATTTCTATTACAGAATATTTCATATTTTAATTATCGCTTTCACAACGACATTACTTTCTTTTGGTATTGCGAGTTTGAGTTGTCTTTGGTATGTTGACTGCCAGTCTGGCGTCGCGTGTTGCCTTCGGAATCTCTGTCAGGTCCGGCTCATCTGTCGTGCCATTACATTCATCGCATTGCAGTCCTCGTTGCAAATTGTGTCCAGGTCATCCAAAGTTGTGCATATAATTCACCTCGAAATAATATTCGTGTGTGTGGTGCGACATGGCGAATTGGAGTGTGGATGCAAGACAAATCTCGGCGAGTGTGTGGGTGTGAGGTTCGTTAAGCAAAGAGTAAAAGACCAGTGACATCACGTCTCTTGTGTGCATAGACAATCATGTACTTGTGACCGCCTGAATTACACGTAACCGATAATTTTGCGTTCGTGACCGGGAAAAATAAATTGTATGTCAAAAATAATTGTTTGTACTTCTAAAGAAGTCTGAATCTCTACAACATCCAAACAACCGCCTCGGGCGAGATGATTGTCATGCATGTACAACTCACGCATAAAAGAAATAAATAGTATTATCCAATAAGGATTCAATCATGACACCTTGCTCATCACATTTACAAACTTGAAGTTTGACAAGTGTGGCTCCCGACACACTATCGCACGTGCATCCCGGATGGGCGTGCCTGTCGCTACTCTACGTCTTCTAATATAATTATCCAACGAGGATGCAATCATGACACATTGCTTATCACAATTATGGAATTGAAGTTTAACAAGTACGGATCCCAGCACACTTCCGCACAGGGTTCTCTGATGCGCGTGCCTATCGTTATTCGTTTATGAAGTTTAACAAGTACGGATCCCAACACACTTCGGCACAAGATTCCCAGCACATTTTTGAAGTTCAACAAG